CGACTATAGTATATTGGTTTATAGAGTTCATTGACTATTAAAAGTTACAAAATGGTCATTCGACTATAGGGAGTTATTTGCTAAGTCTCTCGACTATTGAAAGTTATAAAATGGTCACTCAAGTATCCGTTATATTTCAAACTCGTCCTTTTCCGTTAAAAAAATTAATGGTCGTCTAAGTTGGGCGTTACCATATTGACTAAGATCTGATAGTTATTTGAGATTACGAGATTAGATTTTATCATGTCTAAGTCAGCAGGTTAATGTACAGCTCAGACTACCGTCAATTTTTTAACGAAAAATGACGAGTTTGGAACATAATGAATAGTCGGGTAACCATTTTGTAACTTTTAATAGTCAAGGGACTCGACAAAGCAACTCCCTATAGTCGGAGGACCATTTGGTAACTTTAATAGTCGGAGACTCAATAAAACAAATCCTATAGTCAGGGGACTATTATGTACTTTACCATTATTCGAAAGACTCTTAATTATTTAACAATGTACACTTAAATATTCATGCAAACATAGTACTTGAACCCTGAACTTCAGAGTTAACAACCATCCTTTTAAAATCGAATTTTAATGTGATTTTAGAAGATTATAGTTTCTTATAGTATGTATGTATGTATGCATGTATGCATGTATGCATGTATGCAGTATGCATGTATGCATGTATGCATGTATGCATGTATGCATGTATGCATGTATGCATGTATGCATGTATGTATGTATATGTAAATCATTAAAACTTATTATATGTAAGAGTGAAGGTGTGAAAAAACATTAATGTGAATAATTACTATATAACTTTAAATAGTTAGGTAAAATTAGTTGCATCATTGGATTCTTATTGTCCCACAGTTGCAAGTTACAACTGCAATTGCTTTAATTAACAGAACCAGTTTGAATCTTCTACTTTGGTTTATGTTAATGTCATCCACTTCAATAAATAATACCTCAATATTAATATTTTAATACAATAAATTATTAAAATTTCATCCTAATTCTTATTTTTGTGATTAAATATATTTTTAAAATCTCTATAAATTTGACTTCATTATTAGATATATGATCATTTGAATATATAAAAGAAATTAAATAAAACTCATATTATTTTTTTCTTTTAGTGTAGTCTTTCAACTCAAAAACAAACAAACTGAATATGGTCATTTGACTACGTTTTTCTGTAATTGACAGTTACGGTGTTGACGTGACAGTTCACAGTTCTGACATAACAATCTACGATGTTGACGTGACAGTCCTTCTGTCATGTCATCCTCCATGTTATGAACCCCCGTGAACTGCCATGTTAGCATCGTAACAGTCAACGATGAAAAATGTTGGTCAAATGATCACATGGGTTTATTTATGAGTTAGAGGGACATATTAAAAAAATAATAATACGAGAACCACATTGGTTTTTTTTATATAAGTAAAGAGGCATCTGATTCATTTTAAGCAGTGACAGATCCAAAAATTCAAGAATGAGGGTCCAAAATTTTAATTTTCTTTTGTTAAAAATAACGGGTTGCAAAAAAATTTATTTTTTCCCTTTTTTCTTTAATACATCAAATTAAATTTAATAATTTTTCTAAAATAATGGGATACATTTAACCCGAAACTTAATGCATCATCCCCTTATTTTAACCTAAATAATATAATGAATGATCAAGAGAGATTGATGTAATATGTTTATTTGTGGAGTTTATAATTAATGATGATTTAGAAGGTACCTATATGCTAGATGTCACTTTAATTCTTTTATATCATCCTTTATATTTGTTAATATTCTACACCATTCTTAAATTTTTAAATCTACGTACTATTTATTTTTTAATAATTTAATTTAATATTTTCTAAAACTTTATAATTTTGTGTTTTCTAAATTATTAACATAACCTTTCAAATTTACGTGTTTAACATAAAATTATGTATCCGACCATATTTTTACGTGATTTTCTTTAATTTCAACAAGTGTTCATTACTTTAACTTTGGTTGGTATATATTCTGTAAACGTAATTTTTATATCTATTATTTTTTGTGCTCGAATGAGATCGAGTCAGGAATTTAATGTTCGGGTTGAAATAAATTTAAAAAAAATAGGGATGTTAAAAAGGTCGTGTTAAAATGACTTAATTGAACCATTAATTGTCTAAAAGGGACCAAAATGTAATTTTCCATTTTCCCAAAGCTAAAATGATTAAATTGTAGCATCTATAACGAGATATTGGTGATGTATGGCCAGGGTTTAAGATGCTTATTTGTCCTATTTAATCACCAGCAAATGCCAGCCCCGATGCTTTATGAATTTGGGTATCAAAAAAGTGTCAAAAATGGTCCCCATAGTTTTGGGTTAGATTGAATTGATTTCGTAGGGAAGACAAAACCACAAGCTTCTTGTTTTATGGCCTTTAATAATTGTAATATAAGATATAGAAACAAATAATATCGACCTCAGTGTAAAAAAAAAAAGAATATTGTTCTTTATAGAAGATCCAAATTCGAACAGTTATATTTACAAAATACATATAAATTATTAATAATTAAGAAAGATTCTTATATTACACTATCTTATAATTACCTCAAATTATTAAAATACATATACAAATATATACAAATATCAAGTTCAAGTAATGATGTGGTCTTATGGTAATGGAGGTAATGTACTTTTGGTTTTAGGGTTTTATCATGATTAATCTAGATCGACGCACACATAAATTTTACGGGTGAATTTTTCAACAATATTTTTTTTACATTTATAAAGATTCAAACTCAATACCTACTAAGTTTTGTAAGGGTATTATTTTGAAAAAAATGATTAAATTTAACTCTGTAGAAAAAAAATTGTATATCCATTATTTTTTAAAAAATAAATTAAAATTTTAAATCCTCATTCTTAAATTTTTGGATCCGCCACTAAATATCATATATCATTCTTGGCTAACACATGCATGTGCTAAACTTAAATTTGAATTGGTTATGGTATGAACATAACGCACATGCATATTAGGATGTAACATTGGGTATAAAGAAATATTATCTTTATATTACACCGAAAATATTATAATTTTTTTAAATATTTATTCTATATAGTTCCTTAACTTTAAATAAAAATAAAGACAAATATTACTTGTAAATAAAGAAAAAAAAAAGAAAAGTATATTAATTTTAAAAGTAAAGAACTCTAAAATACAGTGTCTTGATAATTGGTTTTGAAAACTTACTAATTAAGTGACCAAGACGAATAAAATTTAAATATCTGAAAGTTGAGAGAAACACGTTAAAAATTGGGTGGTTAAACATGTAATTTATTCTTATATTATTAAGGTATTTAAATAATTATCCGTTATTAGAATAATGATTATTATATAATACTCCCTATGCCCCCATTAAATTTGTCACTTCTGTGTTTTAAAATTGTCCTATTCAAGTTGTCCATTTGAAAAAAAATCAACAACTTTTACTAGACACATTTTTCTTTCTATCATTTTCTTAGTTTCTCGACAAAATAAAATTTAACTTTTATAGGATAAATTGTCATTTTAATTTTTTTTACAACACATCTCTTACACAAACCTTTTCTTCCTAAAATAATTTGAAATTCAACAATGGACAATATAAATGGGACGAGAGCAGTAGTAAAAATGTCGTCTGAAATCATTATTTCATAATCGTGATATTAAGAAGGGTAAAGTATTCAGATGTTCCTCGGACTATATGATGTTGTTTTGTTAAGTTATTTGACTATCAATAATTACAAAATGGTCATTTGACTATTCTTCATGTTCCATTAAAAAATGACGGCAATCCGAGTTGAATATTAATCATATAATCTATTGTATGAGATATGATAAAATTATATGATAAAATCTGATCCCAAAATCTCAAACGACTATCATATCTCAGACAATAGATTAACATCTAACTTAGAATGTCATTAAGTTTTTAACGAAAAAGACGAGTTTGAAAAATAATAAATAATTGGATGATTTTATAGTATAAGGACTATTATATAACTTTTAATAGTCGGGGGACTCAGTAAAAAGTGTCATACAATCGAAAGACTATTATCTATTTTACCCTAATAATAATGATTATAATTCATAATAGCACTAATTATTTTTTATAATCGCAATAGATATAATGTAAACGAAAATACAAGTATAATTATATTTATTATTGTATATAAATGCAGCCACTTGTCAATTTATCCATGCAGCTGTCCTCCCTTACGAAAATGAAAATCCTTATCAGCATTTCAACAATACCCAAAACGATAAGCAAGGATGGATTGAGGGAATATTTAATTTTTTTTATTAATTTTTTTATTGATTATTTGATTTTTATATCTTTAATATAAATTTTTAAATTTACACCTCTAACATAAATTTTTGTTGCCACCATCAGAATCGACATCCCCCATCATCACGTCTTTCTTTTCCATCAACCACCGGTTTATACGGTTCATACGGTTCACAACAGTGACGGAGTCATGGTTTGGTTAAGTTGGACACTTTTTCACCTTGAAATCTATTTTTTTTTTCCGATTATTTACTTATTTTATTGATAGTGTCTACCTTAAAACATGAGTTTTTTTATTAGTTAATTATTCGGATGTTGCCTACCCTGAAATTTTATTTATACTCGTCCCATTTAAAAAATTTATGTTATTAACATATTTGTGTCCATTCTAAAAAATATTTGTGCATCCGCTACTGATTAACAACATATTACCATTAAATAGGATGATTACAACATAATCTACATACGGTAATCGGTGTCATCTCCCTCTCAATAACCAAAAACATGCAGGGTCACGTTGATGCTCGTGTCTTGTCTTCCCCGGTTTGCTTGTTCCGTCCATCGATTCATTTAATCGCCTTAAATTGCGTGTCGAATGCTCGAAACAGTGTGCCCACTCGTGAACTTGACCCATCACTCCACTTGTCTTTCTTTCTCAGTTTTTGTTGCCTATATATATATATATATATATATATAATATAAACCAAAACAACCCTACTACTTCACAACCATATCATTGAGAGTAGCACTAGGACTAGGAGCACAGGTTAGAGATATGGCCAAAGCTGGGGTGATCATTCTTCTCTCGTTGTTGTTGTTGGTGATAACAGTGTCGACGTTCACGGTGGTTGAAGGGTTGGGAGGTCGAACACCGATAAACGACGTGAAGAACAACAAGGAGGTCCAAGAGCTCGGGAGGTTCTCGGTGGAAGAGTATAACAGGCGGAGGCAAGGGCGGTTACGTCATAACGGTGGTGGTTCGTCGTCGTCGTCGTCAACAGCGGCATTGGTTTTTTCTCAAGTGGTGGAGGCTGAGAAGCAGGTGGTTTCCGGGATCAAGTATTATCTCAAGATTAAAGCCATGCAGGGTGGACTAACCAAGACCTTTGAATCGGTGGTTTTGGTTAAACCTTGGGCTAAATCCAAGGATTTGCTCAACTTTTCCCCTTCTAAACAATAAAAATGAGTCATTTCCCATGTTTGTTTGTGTTTTGAGGGCCTAAGAGCGCGTAATCTTAATCAATAAAGAGATTAATAAGAAAGGTAAACTACAATTCGTATCTAAACTATTTCGTAATATCAGTTTTTGGTCTATTTTAATATCTAAATTTTTGATTTTTTTTCTTCAAAATCATGCATAAGTTTAGTTTTTATTTTATTTTAATAGTACGCTGTTAGAAATTTAACGCATTTAGTACCTAAATTATTAGTTTGGTTTGTTTTAATTTTAAACGGATACTAAAATAGAATAAAAATTAAAGTTTTTAACGGTATGATATTAAAATTGAAACGAATGGAACAAAAATAAAAGTTTTTAACGGTACGATATTAAAAATGAAACAAAAGCTATAATTTAGGTATATTTTTTAAAAAATTAAAAATTTAGGTATTAAAATGAACTAAAATTGATAGTTTAAGTATTAAATGTGTAATTTTCCTAATAAGAAATATGATACAATACTCATTTAGTACCTAAACTATCAATTTTGATCCATTTTAATATCTAAATTTTTAATTTTTTCAAAACCTAACGTTAAATTTGAACATGATACTAAATAAATAAAAACTAAAGTTTTTAGCGATATGGTACTAAAAATGAAACCTAAACTTAGATATGGTTTTGAAAAAAATTAAAAGTTTAGGTAATAAAACGGACTAAAACTGATAGTTAAGGCATTAAACACGAAATATAACCTAACAATAAATATGGTGATTAACTTTTTTTTTATACCAGAAATTCTGGGTTTATGAGAAAATACAGCATGAAGTCAAAGGACAAAACTTTAACATAATGTAAACATTCTTGAGAATCCAAAAACACCATCTTTTTATTAGATGAACTAGAAGAATATCATCATCATGCATGGCTTAATCATGCCTTGATCATAGGGGCAGGCCGGTCCTGTTTTGTTGAATTCGATTGCTCTAACTTGGTCATCTTTGCAAATATGTTGCCATAGAATTGTGCATCCTTCTTGTTGTACTCCCTCATCTTCTCCTTCAGGACTCGGTACTCCATCTTCAGATCCCTGGTATCAACAAAAAAAACATAAATTTAACAAGTTAAAATGGCATTAGAGGTCCTGTATTTCAAAAAATTTACTTTAGAGAAGAAAATCAACGTAGTCCTCGTATTATTTTTTCTTTCAATGGGATCCTTTAACACCTAACACTGCCGTTTAACTAACGCTTTTCGTTGTTTCACCGTTACAGTCAAACGAATGTTACGGTGTTGACACAACAATTCACTATACTGATACGACGGTCCACGATATTGACATGGCAGTCCACGGTGGTTGATAACATGACATATAATATAATAACTGTACTAAAACAACTTACTGATGAATGCATTATACCTGTTATTAGGGTCCATTTCCAGGGCTTTTTTACATCCGCCTCTGCCAGATCCAGATCAACAAGTTGAATATATGCTTCAGCTCTCCTGTATAGGGCTTTAACGTTCCTACTTTCAAGCTCCAACACCTATAAAAGCACACATGCACATGCTTGATTTACATTCTCTCATCAAGACGAGATTTACGTGCAGGGATGGACCGAGGGAGCAGCCGCACCCTATAAAAATTTTTAATATAATTTCTCAAGTTTGCATCTCCTGACGTAAATTACTGTGTTCGTCCCTGTCTATGTGGCATTAAAGCTATTACCTTGGTACATAGCTCCTCAGTCTGCTTGTACTCTTTGAGTTTCAATTGGCAAGCTGCATTGTTGAGATTGCAAGTCACTTTCAGCAACTTGCATTGCTGCTGCTCCTCATGGCCGATAGAATAGTCATTCTCTATGTACCTAATAGCTTGAAACCGTCGAATCTTTTAAGTAAAAACAGTCAAGAATTTGTATAAATATGGGGTGTAAATAAATAGAGCTTGAACGAATAAGGTTATGCTCGTGTTCGTTTATTTATTTTTGAAGGTGTTCATGTTCGTTCATGTTTGTTTAATTTTTTAGCATCGTGTTCGTTTATTTAATTTTGAAGTTGTTCGTATTCTTTTATTTAACATTCGTAAACGTGTCAGTTTAATATTAGTGAACATGTCCGTTTAAATGTTAGCGAACATTTTCGTTTATAACGTTCGCGAACATGTTCGTTTAAAATAAAATGGAAAATAGAGAGATGGAAAAGGTTTTCTTTGTGTTACAATAGGAAAAATGGTAAAACTACACAACTAGTTCTTAAACTTCATAGGATTCATAGTTTAAACTCCAAATTTCATCATATATTCAATTTAGTATGTATCTTCACTAATATTCAAAATATAAAAAAAATAAAACGAGCTTCTAAACGTGTTTGTTCGTGAACATAAACGAACCGAACATATTTCTGTTCATGTTCGCTCGTTTATTAAGTGACAAAAGTTTTATTCATACTCATTTATTTAGCTACATAAATGAACATTATACAAACGGTTCACGAACAGTTCACCGAACGCTCTGTTCATTTACACCCCTATATAATTGATAAAGTTGATGGTGAACTACACAATTAGTGCTTAAACTTCTTAGAGTTCATAATTTAAACTCAAAATTTCATCATATATTCAATTTAGTATGTACCTTCACTAATATTCAAAATATAAAAAAAAAACGAGCTTGTTCGTGAACAAAAACAAACCGAACACATCTTGTGTTCGTTCATTTGTTAAATGAACATAAAAGTTTTGTTCATACTCATTTATTTAACTACATAAACGAACATTATACGAACAATTCATCGAACCCTCTGTTCATTTACACCCTTATAAATGATAAAGTTGATGGTGCATAAGTTTACCTTCTCATATCTGTTTGATGCTCTCTCGTAGTAACCAGTCTTGAACAATGCATTACCTTCTTCTTTCTTCTTCATTGCAGCTTCAATCTTTTCTGGTGCATTCATTTCCCAAGATTCTTTCTCCTGCAATCATTCATTGTTAACATATTAAGCACCTGAATCCGAGGAGAGTATGGGAGCAGTCGCTCTCGTAAAAATTTCATATTATCATATATTTTCTATTTATAATCTGTTTTAACCCCTAAAATTCTAGAAGTTCGTTCCCCAATATGAAATTCTGGGTCCATCCCTGAGGTAACAGGTGAATGTATATACTGACCTTCACAAATGAGACCAACTCAACCTCATAATACACAGTTGAGTTTGCCGGAACGACGGCCAACTCCTTCTGTGATTCCGATGAACCAAAAGTGTATTCGGGCCGAATGGCGATGAGTGCATGCTCTCCTTTCTTCATGGTACTCACAGTTTTTTCAAGACCGTCAACTACTTGTCCTGCAACAAATTTTATCCATGTTAGAAAAAATCAAACAACTTCATGCAAAGCTAAGTGCCTATGGAATGGCATCTAATTGAACCAAATAAGGATGACAACACAATTGTCACCTTCATCAACTTTGAACTCAAAGGGCTCCTCATCATGACCCTTCTTCACAAAGATCTTCCCATCCTCCAGCTTCCCGATTAATTTCACTAACAAAGAGTACAAATAAGAGTGATAAGTATGTTCAGACAACTATCCGAAAAGAGATCACAAGATGTAATGAAATATCGAATTCCATAGCGAGCTTACCTTGGACGACTGTTCCATTAGTTGGACGATCATAACCCTCTCCCTCCTTCATGATCTTCTTCTTGATCTTATTGTCCTTTGTGATATGGACAACGGTCTTCCAAGAAACCAACTCGAGAGTGATATGGAGCGTAGTATTCGGAGGAACAGCACCTTCACTGTCCGATGACGACCTACCGTCCTCACCGAATGCATCTAAATGCAAAAAAGGAGTCATTTGGGGTTTCATGGTGTTCCATATACAAACCTATAAAAACATAAAGGATTTGAACTTACACCGCGGCCTCACTGTCAACAGAACTTTCTCCCCTTTCTTCATCGTTTTTACGGCCTTGGCGAAGGCAGGGCAGAAATAGCCTGCACGGTACATAGTCCAACATCATATATTTAACCATTCAGAGTACATTCACATATAGTAGAGAGTGATCATGCTTACCATCTCCTACAGCGAACTCCACCCCTTCTGATTTCGAAACCGGTGTACCATCTTCTAAACAAACTTCATACTTAACTGTCATAAGCACAACGAAACCGCTGTAAGCATGCGGTAGCATAAGGTTTTGAATGACAATCAGAGCAAGAGGAAATGAATCCTGATATACCGAATACTTAATCCAAATCTTTCGGGTTCTGCCGTTTCTCCCCCTCGACAAGTATTTTCTTCAAGATTCCTCCATCTTTGCATATGTCCTTGACACTAGTCCAAGAAAGCAACTCCACATCAAATTGAAGTGTTGAATTAGGAGGAATAGTCGGAGGCGATCCAGAATCACCATACGACAACTCGGGTGGTATCGTGAAAACGGCATTTTCACCCTTCTTCATGGTTTTGATACCTTCATCCCAGCCCTTGATTACCTGCCCTGAAAATCACGAAGATAAACAAGCTAGCATATCCGGTTCATTCCTATTACAGATACTCCACATATCGTTTCGTTCAACTAGCTAATTATATAGTCTGTGATTCTTCATTTTCCAACATAAAATTGTGTCCAACACATATCCGAACTCGGGTATGAGGCGTGATGATCCTCCGAATATCGGAAAACTTAGAACATATTAAGCATACTTGTACCAGGCACATAATCCATATCCATCCGACTTTCATGTCCGAATCCATATAACACAGGGCTACATAATCTCTCTTCTCAATGCATCAAAGAAAATCATCGGTACCAAACTTCAATATGATTTTACAAGGCTCCAATTGAACAAAGCTTCAAGCTTTGGATCAGAGCATATCTAAATGCGTTGTACAAATCTTTACATTTTACAAGGTCACTGAATCATGCAAAACTGATCTTTTCGATCAACGACCTTTTGAATGTTACAAAACAGTCATTAAACTTTCTAAACAGTTACAAAATGGTCTCCTCCAAGGTTAAAATAGCAAAAATTTCTGATAAGTTTAAGGACTATTCTGTAATAGTTCAATAAACTCGATAAATTTCAATGACCATTTTGTAACTGTTTGA